TTTACACCCAAAATGCTGATTAACTTCACATCAAAGAGGAATATTATCTCCTACAGGGGATGCATGACCCAGCTTTTCTTTTTCTGTGGTTTTGGTATTTCTGAATGTTATATGCTGACATCAATGGCCTATGATCGCTATGTGGCCATCTGTAGCCCACTCTTATATAATGTTGCCATGTCCCCCAAAGTGTGTTCCATCCTTATGCTTGGTTCATATTTGATGGCATTTTTGGGTGCCATGGCTAACACAGGATGCGTGCTGAGACTGACCTTCTGTGATGCAAACACTGTCAACCATTATTTTTGTGACATCCTCCCTCTTCTCCACCTCTCCTGCAGCAGCACATATGTGAATGAGCTGGTGATTTTCATTTCGGTGGGCATAGATATCATTGTACCAAGTGTTACCATCTTTGTCTCTTATGGTTTCATCCTGTCCAGCATCCTGCGCATCAGCTCCCCTGAGGGCAGGTCCAAAACCTTCAGCACCTGCAGTTCCCACATATTTGCTGTTTCTCTCTATTTTGGATCTGGTGCATTTGCGTATCTTCAACCATCTTCTGTTGGGTCGATGGGTGAGGGAAAAATCTCTTCTGTCTTTTATACCAATGTGGTTCCCTTGATGAACCCCTTCATTTACAGCTTGAGGAACAAAGACGTTAAATTTGCTCTGAGAAAAACCCGAAGTGGTAGAACATTTTGATCAGAATCACTGTCCCTGAGTATAGTTACAGGACTGGTATATTCGATTTCTTTTGTCAGAATAGTTTAGTGGGAGTGTTAATATCCTGTATATTTGTTACCACCATGAAGGAAATTTGATTTTTCTGTCAGTTTGTTTCCAGTGTTTTTTGGTGGATACAGTGACAAGCTAGGGCTCCCCAATTCCTCCTCTGCTTCAGGGATTCTGGGATGGAAACTGTGTAGAGGTGTGGAAATTCTCATTGTGTTAGGGTATGTGCTCCCCACCAGCTGAGATCCTCTTTCTTCTTGTTTTGTCTAGGGCTACTGGTCCAGTAGACTCTTATTCCTTGAGAGCCATATAGCGCATATAGTTCACCAACATGTTGCTATAGCCAAATTCATTACCATACTTAAATATGAACTTGACTAAGTGGTCATTGAGGACAACCCCAGCCCCAGCGTCAAAGATGGAAGATTGGGTGTCATTTTTAACATTGCAAGTGACTACCTGATCCTCAGTGAAGCCCAGGAAGCTCTTGAGGGGGTCCTCTGATGCCTGCTTCACAGGCTTCTTGATGTTATAGTACTCAGCAGCTTTCTCCAGGTGGCAGCTCAGATCCACGACTGACACTTTGGGATGGTGACATGGAAGGCCATGCCAGTGCGCTCCCTATTCAGCTCAGGGATGACCATGCCTATAACCTTGGTGCCATCAGTATAGAAGCAGGAATAATGTTCTGGGAAGCCTCTCAGCCATCATGCCACAGCTTCCCAGCCAGGCCTGGCAATGTCTTCTTGGTGGCAGTTATGGCATGGACTATGGTCATGAGTCCCTCCACGATGCCAACGTTGTCATGGATGACCCTGGCCAGAGAGGCCAAGCAGCTGGTTCTGCAGGAGGCATTGCTGACAATCTTGAGAAAGTTTTCATACTTCTCATGGTTCACTCCCATCCCAAACTTCAGGGCATCAGTAGAATGGGCAGAGATGCTGATCTTCTTGGCCCCAGCTTCAAGTAAGGCACAGCCTTCTGCATTGGACTCCACAGCATACTCAGCAGCAGCATCTCCATGTTTGATGTTGGTAGGATCTCGGTCCTGGAAGATGGAGGTTTGCTCTGCATTGATGACAAGTTACCTGTTTTTTGCCTTGACTGTGCCTTTGAGTTTGCCATGGATGGAATCATACTGGAACATGTAGGTCATGTAGTTGAGGTCAATGAAGTTGTCCTTGACAGCAACAGCATCCACTTTCTCACAGTTAAAAGCAGCCCTGGTGACCAGGTGCCCAATACCACCAAATATACTTACTCCAACCTTTACCTTCTTGTCTTTGGGATGGTGCTGTCTCTGCATCAGGAGATGTGGCTGTGTGTTAGACAGGGAGGAGCAGAGAGCCCAGTTTGTTTCCAATTTCTTTTTTTTTATTTTAATTTTATTTATCCATTTGAGAGAGAGAGAGAGTGAGAGAGAGCATGAGAGGGGAGAAGGGCAGAGGGAGGAGCAGGTTCCCCATGGAGCTGGGAGCCTGATGTGGGACTTGATTCCTGGAATCCAGGATCATGACCTGAGCAGAGAAGGCAGTTGCTTAACCAACTGAGCCACCCAGGTGCTCCTGTTTCCAATTTCTTTTTTTTTTTTTTTTTTTTTTTTTTTCTGTTTCCAATTTCTTGATAGAAGATCTTCCTTCCTCATCATTTTCACGATGTCTTTTCCTTTTTACCTCTTTAACCATTTACAAATAACATTAATGAATAAATTTATCTCTGTTTTTTTTTTTAATTTTTATTTCTTTTCAGCGTAACAGTATTCATTGTTTTTTGCACCACACCCAGTGCTCCATGCAATCCATGCCCTCTCTAATACCCACCACCTGGTTCCCCCAACCTCCCACCCCACACCCCTTCAAAATTTTTACTTTGTCAGGGAATTTGCATTTTTTTTTTCCTCTTGGAAAGGATTAACAGTTCTGTAAATGATCATGTAAAGTAACAGCTGGGTGATGTTGTACCTATGGGGGGGAGTTTCTTACACTGTGCTATTGCAATCAGGAATCAGATAATGTGTACTCCTGTCTATACAGTTCCCTGGCCTATAATGTGTCTCCTTGAAATGTCACTGTTTCACAGATACAGCAGGTTCCAGAACATCCATAAAATATAATCCACTTTCCACCTAAATGCTACATGTTAAGCGTCTCTTGATAGAGGTTTCATATTTACCATAGGACACAGAAGTGATCCTCAATATATATTTATTGCATAGACATGATACTGAAGCTGCAGAAAGTTAATGAATTACATCATACAGCTTATTAAGGAAACGTCTAGGTAAAGTATAGCCTCCTGATTTTAAGTCTACTGCTCTTTCAAATATATACTCTTGTCTACTTCATTTTATTATTTTTATTTTTAGTTTATTTCAATAATCCTAAAATATGAGAACATTTTTTATTTTGAAAGTTGATCGTGCTTTGTTGGCTTACACATAAATATCCCTCAGGGTAATGATTGCTTTAGGAAAGTAGTGTGATAGTTCTTTTCCTTGTCCAAGAGAAGTCCTATTAGGCTAGGCTAGTAGAGAGATGATTGACTGAAACAAGGAGCTTTTTGCAAATTAACTAAAAAATATTTTAAAATATTTTCAAGTACTAGTAATTCAGAGACAAGGGCATGGGAGAGAAAGGAACCCAGCAACAAACATTGGGCCAGGACCCAAAAACCGCATGGACAATAAACAAGAAATCTCTCTGTAGGAAAAGACTATGAGGTTTAAAAGCACCTTTCATCAGACTTTGTCTCCTGCTGTTCAGAGTACTGCAATTCTGCCCCCCATCGTGTCCATACAGCTGTGATAAAACTTACCATGCATGAGGATCCTACATTGATAGAGTTTTAGGGAATGAAGGCCAAAAGGCCAGATTGGTCTCCACATTTATGAGGAACCAGGAACCCAGAGGACAGGAGCTTAAATAGTGTTTGGTATTCAAAATTCAAGTCAAGATGAAGGGATTTAGAAAGCAAATGATGGAGAAAAGACATCTCTTTTGTGACTCTTCCTTTCTAGAAGGCGCTAGAAATATTATGGGAACCACAGGATTTCTCTGGATAGGATAAAAGCACAAGTCATTTGATGTTTACACCAGGTGATGGGCATTAAGGAGGGCACATGTTGTGATGAGCACTGGGTGTTATATGCAAATAATGAACCATTGAACACTGCATCAGAATCTAATGATGTAGTATATGGTGGCTACATGAATACAGTAAAAAAAAATAAATAGATAAAGTAGCAGGGCTGGAGGACCTGGAAACAGCTAAATCACTCCTGTTTTTTGACTTCTGGGTGCAACTCCTCTATGGATTTTAAGTTACAAAAACCCTGAAGTAGCAGCTGGGAGAGCAATGACAACTTGGGAGAAACATTTGGTGGATAAGCCTAATTCTGACAGTTTCCTTTCTTCAGTAGGATGTTGGATTATTTTTCTTTTGACAAAACACAAAAAGATGATTACTCTAAAAGTCCTTAATCCTAAATTATATTCCTGAAACCAGTATTACACTATTTGTTAAATAACTAGAATATAAATAAAAACTTAAAACAAAGAAAAAAATTTAATCCTTAAGTTATGATTTAAACATTTCTTTTTTTACTTTTTTTATTTTTACTTTTAAATTTTCTTTTATTTTTTCAGAGTTGCAAGATTCATTAAATATTTCTAAGACAGCTTTAATTATACTTAATATTTTACCACTTTTCTGATTTCCAGTCAAGAATCAGCTATTGTGAAATTTAGCATAACTGGTTTATTATCTTGTTTATGTTTTAGATATTCGACTTATTTATTATTTATTTTATTATTATTCTTTAAGATCTTATTTATTTATTTGAGAGACAGAGATCAAAAGTAAGCAGAGGCAGTCAGAGAGAGAGAGAGAGGGAAGCAGTCTCCCCGCCAAGCAGAGAGCCCGATGTGGTGCTTGATCCCAGGACCCTGAGATCATGACCTGAGCCGAAGGCAGAGGCTCAACCCAATGAGCCACCCAGGCACCCCATTATTTATTACTTATTTTAAAAATTAATTTTTAATTGAAGTATAGTTGACATACAATATTCTATTAGTTTCACATCTACAACATAGTGATCTGAGATTTATATGCATAACCAAATGCTCACCATGAAAAATGTAGTTACAATCTGTCATCACAGAGTTACTGACTTACTGTTTTTAAATGACCTGTCATACCACATCCCCTGACCTCCATATCAACATGTGTGATTTTCATTTGACAAGTTTTATTTATACAAAATAGCTGATTTTTGTTGTAATTTATAATTTTGTTTTTCTTTTACTTAGTGTCTGTTTTTTTTTTAACTTAATTTTATCTTTTCAGCGTTCCAAGATTCATTGTTTATGCACCACACCCAGTGCTCCATGTAATACATGCCCTCCCTAATACCCACTCTCAGGCTGTTTTCTTTTTTTTTTTTTTTTTAAGATTTTATTTATTTATTTGACAGACAGAGATCATAAGCAGGCAGAGAGGCAGTCAGAGAGAGAGGAAGGGAAGCAGGCTCCCGGCTGAGGACCCTGAGATCATGACCTGAGCCCAAAGCAGAGGCTTTAACCTATTGAGCCGCCCAGGTGCTCCCCCGCCCCACCCAGGCTCTGTTTTGATGAAATTGTATTCCTTATTGAAAAAGGTGTGTCAATATGTAAATAATGTTTGTGCTATTCAGGAACCCTTATAGACATTTCAAAGGTGCATCCATTTTGTTATTTATTTTATCACTGTTAGTGATAAAATTAGTCTGGTCACTAATCTTTCATTTGAGAAGCCTCAAAATTCAAATGCAATCTGCTTTAGTTTCAGAATTCAGGAATGATATATATATATATATATTATTGCAGAAAGAATAAGCTTTTGAATTTAATTCCACCTTTTCACGTTATTTAGGGAAAAGTTCATTAAAATGGTTACAAAAGTTATAAAAACAGTTTATAAAGGTAAGATTTACA